CAAGATCTCAGAGCACGCTTTGAGGTAACTATTATGCTGTACTGGATTTGTGGGGAAAAGTATATACTGTACGCCATTGTCTATGGACTTTGTATTGCTGCAAATAGACATATAGTAACATTTGATCAGTTCCATCATTCCATATCAGGGCATCACACAGACACAATGATTTAAGCATCAAGTCAATGTCCTTGCTTTTTGTAGTATATTGGCACATACTTAAATGGAATTTGGAACACACTGTACTAGTTTTCCATAGAAAAAAGGGGTGATTTAAAAGCAAATTGTGCTGCTTATATATTGCCCCATACTGCTTAAAGCTTTCTCTGGGTGTTTACAATTTAATTACCAATTGTCCCTCCACCAGGAAGCTGGGTGCTCAATTTACCAACCTAAGAAGCGCGGAAGACTGAGCTAACCTTGAGCCAGCTACTTGGGCTCAGAATTGAACTTAGGTTGTGACCAATACTGTATTCGCTGCAATACTGCAGTTTAATCTCTATGCCACAAGCTCCTAATATAAAGCAGTTTTCAAAACTGCAGTGATACAAGAAAAGCTCCCTGAGGAGTAGCTGTGTGCTCTTCTGCAGCAAAAACAGAGTTTTCGTGTACTTTAAACTGGCCATTGACAACAGACGTAATATATGATAATACGTGTTATGAGCAGACTTGCTTATTTATTTAAATTCTACGCTAACTTTCTGTCCATGGGAAGACCCAAGGCAGCTCACAATCAATTTTCATTATTTATTTATTTATTTATTTGATTTGATTTGATTTGATTTGTATCCCACCCATCTGGTCTGGTCGACCACTCTGGGTGGCTTCCAATAAAAGTATTTATCGTAAAACATACGAATATTACAATCAATTAGAACATATACAATAATAAAACAATAAGGAAGAAAGAAAGAAAAAAGGGAGAGTTAAATATTGACAGAAGGGAAGGCCTGAACATATAACCACGTTTTTAATTGACTCTTTACAATCTGTCTTCATTAAAATTTACCTACTTTCTCCCTCTAGTGGCATGATCAAACATTGCACAGTATTGCTTTCTGTAGAACAGTATTGAATAAGGAAACAAGACCCACAGAGATTTCTGCAAAGTTAATGTAAGTTCTATTGCTGTGCTAGCTCTTCTGCATTCTGTATCCAAAGGTCCTGTAATTCTTTTTAGCAGTTGCTGAGCTGCCACTTGAATTTTAAATGATTCATTTACCGTGAAGTTCCTGGAAGAAATAGACATCTATGTTAATGTCCTCTACCAGCTCATTAACAGTATTTTTAAAAAGATAATTGTATTGTTGTTTGCAGAATGGGTAATTGAGAAGAGATTCTGGAACTACCCTTTTTAAGATTCTCGGGAGATAGGGAAGATCTTGAGAATCCAGACTGGCACCTACATATTTCGGGTTGACTGTGATGTGGGATGTGCAGATCCTGCTAGGTGTGTATATAGATTCCACTTGTAATGTTTAGCAGAGTATTACCTTCTGAGGGACACTTGCCAGCTATCTGTTGTGCCACTTAGATTTTGCACAATCACAGTGTGCATTTATTTTTGGATTAACCACTACGAAATAGCTTCATTCATTACTGTTCTAAACTCTCTCTTAATCAATATCAAGGTGGCAGACAGTAACTACATTTTCAACAACAGTGACTCTGAAGGCAGAGTATCAACGGACAGAAACATCAGGCTTCGATCTTGCATCATCATCAACAACTTTCTATGTCCTTGCCAAGGACAAAAAAATTCAGCATAATAATTAAATGTTCCCTTAAGTTGTATTTAATTATATTGGACCGTTCTTAGAAATTGCATTCACATCAGGAGTGGACCGTGCAGAAAATACTATATTTTAGTAAACAAACAGAATACTGTATGGCACAGTCTAAACAACTAACAGAATAAAGATTTTTGTACTGTACTTTCTAGCAGACCAGTGACAAGAAGCATGTATTTATGTTGTATGCGATTAAAAAACAAATGGTTATGTAAAAGATGTATTGCAATCTACACCTGGCTGCAATACATATTTGCAAATATTCAAAACAGGTATACTTCATTCTAGCATATCATATGAAAAAAGGTAGTTTTACATTAGACAAAAAGCAAGCATTTTTCTAGGACTAGAAAAGAATCCAAACTTTTAAAACATTTATTTCTACCTATCTTGGCTGGGACATAAGCATCTATCATTTAATGATTACAGTATAAATGGATAGGTTATATTAATTATGTGCCATCACATCAGGTTCAACTTATAGTGACTCTCCCCGAGTATGCAGAAGTGGTTAACCTCTTTCTGCTGGCACTCTCAGACTGTGTAGCTTGTCCAAGGCTGGACAGGAGGATTTTGGCTGGATTCTCTTCTTGGAAGCACAAGGAAGACTTGAATCACCAGCCCATTGAGCTGTATGAGTGCAATGTCTTTCATATGTGAATAATACCACATATAAGAAGCTCAACCTGCTTTTTACAACAACCCTGTGAGGTAAGATATGCAGGACAATAGTGAGTGGCTCAAAGTTATTTTGTAAGCTTTGAGTTAAAATTTAAACCTATTTTAAATAGTGCACTGTACCCCTCTGGCTATTCAGCAGAACTTCCAGATCTTGTTCTGTTATGCTATATATCCACACATTCTTCCAGGGACAAAGCACATACATTTATCTATAAACCAAGCCTTAGGTCCTAAAAGATTGTGGTGCAACAGTGTATTATGGTTTTAAGCCTTAACATGTTTATTTAGGTTCAGCTGTGTTTGGTGATGTTGCTCAGTTACTCAGCCATGTTATGCAGTTCACTTAGTACCTGCCTATGCAAATTATATATATATATTGTATTTTAATTGTTTATCTTTTTATTGTATTTTAATTGTTGTAAGCCACCCAGAGACCTTTGGGTAGAGTGGGCAGCATATAAGTAAAATAAATAAATAAATAAATAAAATATCACTTACAAAATTTGATGCAGTGCGAGAATACTTTTATGTTTTCCAGCTACTGTATTTGAATCAGTCAAATTCAACACATCCTAACCTTGGGTGTAATGCTCAGTTGTAGTTTTGGAACAGCAGGGAAGACTTTTTACTAGAAGTAGCTATTCTTCCATAACTGTATGAAAAAACTGGAGAACAAGTAAGTCACAGCTATTTGTTGCAGAATAATTTCTCAGCGCTGGGATATGGCATTCTGTAGCTGGCGTCTAAGGCCGTCTTTGCCCATATACGTATGTTTACTACTAAAACCCAGTGGTAATCCACACCTGTAGTCTTTTCAATACAATCTGTGCATTCAGTACGAAGCCATTAAGTAGTAGGTAATGAGAAATTGTTATGTATGTACATGTGTGAATGTGCTCCAGTTCCCCAGACTTACTATGCAAGACATTGCACAAAAGACAGTATTTGTACAATGATTTAATTATCATGCATTTACAAATAGCAATCTCAGTTCTTTCAATTATTGATCTTTATACAATCAAAAGGATATCACCCATGCATAGAAGAGAGATGTCAGCAGGCTTGAGGATGTCATGATATTTGCATTAGAGAAAAGAAAGCATTAATGGGCACTTTGTTCCAAAACACCCCAGTGAGGAACTTGCTTTAGTGGCTGCAGAATGCTGAATGGATTGTTCAGGTGGGACCAGGAATTTTGCGGAGGGTGGGGGGAGGAGAGATAGAACAGAGTCTGTTTAAAAATAACAGATTGTAATGGACAATATAGCAGTACTATATCATCCCTACTCTGTGTAGACTGGGTCCATATTTTACTTGCCTAATATCACATCTTAATGGGGACTGGACAAAGCAGGCCCTAAGTGCAAAGTTCTATACAGTACCTGGAAAAAGCAGCCAAATACAAAATAGCAATATTGGGGAGGGGGACTTGGCTCAGTAATACTACAAGCAAGAAGGATCTTGGAATTGTTGATCACATGCTGAATATGAACCAACACTGCTGCAAAAAAAGGCAACAGAATTATAGACTTCCCTGTACAGTATTTGCCACTGGTTAGGTCTCATACTGAGTAAAAAAAAGGCAACAGAATTATAGACTTCCCCTGTATTTGCCACTGGTTAGGTCTCTATGCATTTCTGGACACCACACTTTAAAAGGATTCTGACAAACTGGAACAAGTTCAGAGAAGGGCAACAAGGATGATCAAGGAACTAGAAACCAAGCCCTATGAGGAAAGATTGAAACAACTGGGTATGTTTAGCCTTGAGAAAAGAAGACTGAGGGAAGATATGATAGCACTTCTGAAATGTCAAACAGAAGATGGCCAGGATCTGTTCTCAATCATTCCAGAGTGCAGAGCATGTAATAATGTGCTCAAGTGACAGGAAGTCAGATTTTAGCTGAGTATCAGGAAAACATCCTGTTAGAGCAGTACATTGGAAACAATTTACCTGAGAAGGTGGTGAGCAGTCCAACACATGAAGGCATTCAAGAGAAAATTATACAGCCATCTGTCAGATCTACAGTACAGTACTTTGATTTGGATTCCTGCATTGAGCAGGAGGTTGGATTTGATGGCCTTATAGGCCCCTTCCAACTCCATTACTCTAGGATTCTATGCAAGATACATGGCTGATGGCCCCCTCCTAGAATGTAATGGACCTCATTACAAGAGAGGTACTGGCCTTTTCTAGTTGTGTTCTGACTGTGCATAAGTGTAGGCACTGTTTGCAGAAAATCATTCAGCAAAGTATACCAAAGAATGTTGTGGAACTCTTTTTTGGACACAAGCCTGCTGATCTTTGAAAACATCAATATTTTTTTATTGTGCAAGAGATAATTTTGCATTTGGTCCAAGCCTATGTTAAAAATTAACTTTTTTAAAAATGCAGTTGTTTATTTAACTCTTCTGTTCAAATTTACAGTACTTCTAGTACTTCATTTCTTTTGCACAGATTGCTATTTGGCTAAAATCTGCTCATTTGTTCTTAACAAGAGCTCAATGCTTCAAGTAGGGGAAGCAGATACAGGAACCTCAGAGCAGGAACAGTGACAGCAAATTAACGGTGGTTAAAATATGTGATCTCATCACAAATACACTTTTCCTCCTATAATATGGAGCAATGAACACAAGATTCCATATACTGTACTGTACATGCATAACACGGGTTTCACATTACAGTAATTTGTAAAAAGCTGGACTAGTACCAAGCATAACACACATGTAGAAAGGAGTTCCATTTCTTTCCTGGTTGATCTTCAGACCAATGCCTTTTCATCTCCTTCTGCACTGGAAATCAAAGCGTCCACAAGATGAAGAAGTGCAGGGGCTGTAGAGGATCAGGAGAAACAGGATCCTCAACAGCTAGGGATCCTCAATGGATAAACACTCAGAGCCAAAGATGCACACATCCTGAACAGGCAGGCAAAGTCACCTCATTTTGTACACTGCCCACAAAAAAGGCTAAAGAATAACACTCCGTCCACTGCGAGAACTACCTTTTTCCTAAAAGAAAAAAGAAAAGAAAAGCTGCTATTTAGGAAGAAGCAACAGGCCATTCCTAATTCACTTCTGCCCTTAGTGCTGCTCAGTACATTATTATTTTATGCAAGGTCGATTTAGGCTGCTGAAGTCTTGGCACATTTGAATGATGGGTGATATTAGTCAGCTACTAAATTCTGACCTTTTTGTGCCATCTATTTCAGACTGCTAACACTGAAGATCTGACCTTTGGCTGAAAATGTATGCATGACAGCACTGAGGCTCAATGCTTTGTTATTTTGCTTTGGACGCAGTGATCATATGCAACTGAATCAAGGATTGACAGCCTGCTCTTTCCCCTACCATACCACTTCTAGTGTTTCCTCCTATTCCAGTCAAGAAGCAAACAACTCCTGCAGGTGCGTGCCTCAGCAACTAGGCAGGCTGTGTCATGTCAATATTTCACGAAGGGAAGTTCTAGAGAATAGACTGATACAAACAAGAGCATGGGCAGTGTGTTGGCAGAAATGTCTTCCAGTTGTTAAGTGCCGTCATGTCAGAACTGATTTATAGCAACCCTAATAGGGCCTACAAGGTAAGTGAGATACTTAAGGAGTGGTTTTACCAGTTCCATGTCCCTAGTGAGTTTCCATGGCTGACTGGGAATTTGAACCCAGGTCTCTTGGGTCCTAGTCCATTACTCTTCCGATTGCAACATACTAGATAGCCATTGTCTTTCTAGGCATGCAAAATTCTTACTGCCAGCCCAGAAAGAGGCTGTTATTTCTTAAATTAAAACAACAGCTTTTGTCCTTTAACAACAGGGAAGGCCGAGGAGTTTGCCAGATCATGATGAGCAGAGTTTTATTTGGTCTTCTTGTGAGTAGGCATAAGCAGAACTGAGTCTACAAGTGACTTCTCAAATAAGGCAATTGGCCTCTGCAAGCAAATCCATCTGAATACCAATAGTGTCGCTATACCTTTCCTCATTATGCTTGTGAGCCAATGGTGAGGAATCTCAGGGTTTGCAGTCCAAAACCATCTGGAGAGCTATCCACTCCCACAAGTTTAAAGATGGCAACCTAGACTACCGTATGATCCTGAAAACTAATATTTATCACAATGTTTATTTACCGATTGTAGCTCAGTTGCTTTTCTGGTTATGTTGCCTTTGGCTGGGGTGACTTCAACGGAGCGATAACTAGGGGGTTTCTCCTCTGGCCAGTCTGGGGAACGATGCCGATGACGTCTCCTGTGGTTTCCTGGGATGTATTCATATTCTTCTGATGAACTCCAGGACTCCCGATGGGATGGTGGGGAATAGCTGCGATGTCGCCGTCGGCTCTGGTGACTACTGCCTGGTTGAGAGGTCCGTCGCCCTGAACGCTGATACCTTCGGTCAGAGTACTGGTGCCCAGAATATTCCCTTCTGGCCTCCTCAGAATGGGAATTGAGACTGTTCCTACCACGTACCACTGGTGTTACATCTGGCCTAGATCTTTGCGATCGCTCATAATGACTGCCATCCCTCGGCCTCTCAGGTCTGCGGTCCCTGTATCTGTCCCATGTTTCCCTATCATAGTTGGAGTGAGGATCTTCATTGAAAGAGAAACGCCGTGGCCTCCTCATCCCCTCCCTCTCTTCTTCACTTGTGATGCTTCGAGGTCGTGGAGTATGAAGAGACCGCTGTGGTTGTGATGAATTGCTGCTCCTCCAAGAGGATGGCACCCGCTCAATGATGGGGGGCAAGTGGATTACTCTGCGTTCCACAATCTCTGAGCCAAGAGATGAGAGGACACTGGAGTGCCGACTGGCCCCAACATGATGTGAAGGCAGTGCAGGCTGGGAAAGATTGAGGTTCCTGATCTCAGACTCAAGCTGGTCCAAATACTTGTTGCTGGGAGCCACCAGGGGAAGCGGAGGCTGACTGCTCTGTAGAGACACATCTAGAAAACACAAGGAAAAGACAACTTCAATCAGAGAAAACCAAAGGGCTGTCAGGAGTTAAGAGTCCAAACAGGATGACTTCAACACATTTCACTGCCTAAGGTGAAAAGGAAGATGGTGCTCCCCCTGAATACAGAAACTGACTGGAATGGCAGTTAAATCTTTCTTCAGTAATGCCTATGGGATGGAATCTTCTACTGGATCTGAAGGCAGTAGGTTAGCAGGGCAGTAGGTGCGGCCCAGCTCTCTTGTGAGACAGTTTGTTGCAACCTCCTAGTATGTGCTGCCAGAGGCAATTCCCTCACTCTGCTTAATGGTAGAAGGAGCCTTATATCCAGTAATATTTACAGAGCCATGAATTACCTCTGGATTAAAGAAAACCCACCCCAAAAAACCACTGTTAGGAACTGCATAGGCTTTTCAGGCACCTCACAGGTGACAGATATTTGTTTAGTCCTTCCTTCTGGATTCTGATTTTTTTAAAAAAATCACACATGCAACTCACTTTAAACGCTAATAGCAGATGTCTCTGCCCCACAAAACACACATATATTCATGCTTGTACCAGGGTTTCCTTTCTTATTTTGTATAAAACGTGTAGAAGATGTATGAGATTATACTGTATAAACAATTTCTCCATTAAATCAGCACCTAAATTTTCCACACGTGTTTTATTTCTATGGAACAGAAAAAACAGGTCTATGAAGACTGCTACGTGATATCCATTTATACAAAATGAAGCTCTCAGGGAAGAATGAACATTCTACATTTACAAATTAACTTGTGTGCCTAGTCCAGCCCTCACTAAAAAGTCCAGTTCTTGACCTGGAAAAATTATGGAAATATACACTTTTCCTCCATCAGCGTGATATATTTAGCCACTAATAGTCTCATGAAGGATGAGAAGAAGCTGTGAACACTAGAAAACAAAACAAAATACACATACACACACAACAGTCTCCAGACACCCTTAGGCTTCTCAGATTTTATCAGGAATTGGTATTCATTTCAAAATCATCTAAACAGTCACAAGGACTGGAACCATGCTTCATCAAAAAGAAAATGATACTTAATGAATGATGAGTTCTGCCAATCACAAAACAGGTCTGAACCATGAAAAGGACAAACTTGTGTTTTGGCTGGGATCATCTCTCCCTTCTGGGATAGGCAGGATTATAAAACTGAACCACCAGCACATTTGTCACTGAGAAGTCAAAAATATACCACTGAAAGGATCATATCTTCTCAGCACAGCCTACCTCGTTGTAACAGTGGGTTTAGTTGGTATGAAGATGATGCAGAATGGTGTGCCATCCACGGCAAAAGTTGTCGAGCCTGTTTCATGAAATGATGTCGCTCCAGGACTAGAGGACAGAACAAGCAATGGATATAATATCCAGGACACAGTCAGATCTCCTTTAGTTGTTTTGCAAAAATGTAAAATCACAATAATGGACAATGGCTGAAATCCTGTTTCTTACCACAGGAAGTCACGCTAGAGTCAACTCCTCCATTAAGTTCAACCGATTCATATAGGGCCACTTTTGTCACAATTTACTTTAGCATAGTAGTTTGCGAGTTGAAGAAGACCATTTGAATAATCAAACTTATAGAATGGTTGACTCACCCACAGATTCAATGGGCCTGCTCTAGTGGGAGTACTCTAAGGAACAGGACTTCAGCTGTTATGAGGTAACACTAGTGTTGGTCAAATTTTGACTATCTGTGCTGTGGGCTGAAAAGACCTTCTAGAGGAAGATTCTACCTTCAAGATGCACCTTCCACTCTACTGAACAAAAATATTAATGATATTAATAATAACCAAATATTAATTAATTGGTTGCTATACATGCTAACATTATATTCTCCTTCAACAATTTCTCTACCTTCCCACCTAATTTACAAAAAAGAATTTGCTAAGCACAAATTCAGTAACAGCAGAGAGAACATGTAATGGAGTGGAGAGAAAGACTGTAAAACTCTGAGCAAATGACAGCACATAGCAGCCATGACAGACTTAAAATAACCCTAAAAAACCCAAAGGGATTTGTAGAAACTCTAGAAGACAACTGTTTCCCTGTTCCTAAGTAGCTACTGTCACCAAAAAGAGTTTTGTCTATGTTCTGCGTTTATTCAAAAGCGAGGAGTGACATCTCTCTCTCCTAAAATGTACAAACACCTCTAGACTCATTAACAACTGAAGCTACTATCTGCAAGTAAATGCATCACTTACATCTGCATACAGAGATTTCAAAATCCCTTAGGGAGCTTTGAAAAAGGCAGCATATACTCTGTCTCCAATTAATATCTGCTTCTGGTTTCAAAACAAGTGTTCATACCGCAATATTCACTTTTCTAGTCATTAAAGTCAGATATTCTTACACAATATGTTTAACATTCAAATAACGGAAAAGTTTCCACCTTAGTGTGTTTTACAAAGCAACTGGAATATTTGTACATGCTAAAAAGAATAAGTGTAAACAGCAGAAATGGGTGGACAGAGGAACAGGGCACCAAAGTACAATTGCAAAGACCCTTTATACATTTGGGGTGATATAACATATGACGAGGGCATGTCAACACCACAGAGGACCCTCAACACTACAGAGGAATGTCAAACTGGCTTGGAAGCCACTGAAATGAGCATGAAAACAAAATGAATATATTATGCCTGTTTTATTGCTGTTCCTTTCAATCCATGCATGGGACAGAGAGTGCGCTTTAAGAGTTACCTTTCTCATTGCAACAGCAGCGCGTTGGGCAGCAAGGACAGCGCACATGGCAGCAGCAATGCTGAGGGCAGCACTGGCACCAGCACACCCCAACCAGGAGGAGGAGGAGGAGACCACCAAAGATGATAAAGATGACAGTCAGCCAATCTGATTAAGACAAGAGGCCATTAAAATGCATTATGGGTTGATGAATGTACATATGTATGCATGTATCATTATTAGTTGCTTTTCTTTTGCTAGAAAATAAATGTTTCCTCCCATTTTTCCCTAAAATGGAAACTCCTCTCCTGTGAACCATCTTCCAAACAAAATGACAGGATTTATTACCCAACAAACCAGAGTGATCCACTGTTATGCACACCGTGTATGCATAAAATAATAAAATATAGCATATGTTACAAATATATAGAAAGTATAAAATCAAGTGAATACAAAACTTAGACCTTTCTTTGCCAGAAGCGGTCAAAGGCCAGGCCTCAAGATGATGGTGCACTACAATCCCATTCAGCTCTATCCACCAAAACTAATTGTGAGGAATGGTGGGAGTTGTAGCTAACAACATCTGAGAGCCCACACTTTGCCACATCAGTTCCAAGGCTACAATGCTAACGATGCTTGTCAGCAAGTAAGTTTTATTCAATAAAATGTGATATGTGACTAAATCAGCATCTTTAGGATCAGAATGCAAATTCTTTTGTTTTTCTGTTGTATTCTTCACAGCATCACAGATGCCAAGAAAAATACAAAACAAGGAAATTAACCTTAACAGAAATAAAATAAATTGGTGTCACATACTTAGAACAATGAGCTTGACCTCTTTGTCTGGGTCACCTGTTGTATCTCCTGGAGCTTCAACTGCGCAGTAATAGACCCCATGGTCCCACCACATCACTTCACTGATGACAAGATCCGCTTCTACGAAGGAGGGAAAAAGCATAATGAAAGGAGATGTCAGGCTGATGTTCATCTTGTTGGCGATTAAAAGCAACAGAATCTCCCAAGGAACCTTTATATCTTCCATTGTATCTGGATGGACATCCAATACTTTTTGTGCAGACTTACAAGGAGCTACCTACTGCTGTAGAATACTTGCTACTGGAAGATATATATATACAGTGGTGCCTTGCATAACGATGTTAATTGGTTCCATTAAAAACATTGTTATGTGAAAACATCGTTAAGCGAAACACCATTTCCCATAGGAATGCATTGAAAACCGGTTAATCCGTTCCAATAGGACATTTCAATACATTTTAATGGTGAAAAAAAAAATCGCCAAAAAGTCAAAAAGACTCAGAACGAAGCCAAATTAATTTAACGAAGGTTTTATTAGGTGCACTAACGATTCCAAGCATTTTAAACATTTTTAAACATTTTAGAATATTTTTAAAATAGCGAAAACAGGGGTGTTTAGAATATTTTTAAAATATCGAAAACAGGGGTGTCAAAAAAAGTTAAGCGGAACAGGAGACCTAAAACTGTCATCGTTAAGTGAAGCAAGGTCCCAAATATCGTTATGCGAAAATCCCCCATAGGAAACATCGTTAGGTGAGGCGGCAAAATTTCCAGCAAAGGCCATCGTTATGCGAATTCATCGTTGAGCAAGGCACTCGTTAAGCGAGGCACCACTATAAGCATGCACACAGTAGTATCTCCCATTTGCCACACCATCATAAAAATAATTTGCTATGTTCTGTTTTCTTTACATGTAATGATACACAGTCCTGTTTGCAGTTGCCATATCAAAGATTTCATTCTCCCACAATAACAACATGAAATCTTGACTACAGATGTAGCCTACAAAGGAAGCAAGCCACAGACTGGAATGTCCAAAATCGTATTTTGGCATATTAATTTATATTATCCATTAGCTAGGTTTTCCTAAGTTTCTTTTACCCTTAATGTTCCAATAGACACTTACTGTTCCGAATGGTGATCTTCCTTTGACTGTAATCGACACCCAGTATGGGTTCATTCTGCCCCCTTTTCTGAGCAACAATGCGCACTTCGCGCTGATTGTCATTGCAGTCATTAGAAGGATCTTGACCAAGAGCCAGACTTGCCTGATAGGCTGCAAACAGCAAGGCCAGATGCAAAATTAATTTCATCATATTTAGTGATAAGACTCATTGGAAAATATAATAATGCTAGGAAAGATAGAAGACCGTAGGAAAACTCAACCTAACATGAAATGATTTGCTTAATAAAGGAAACCACAGCTTTTAGTTAGTTCGCAGGAGATGAACAAAGACATTAATGAGAGGACCTTTTGCAAGACATTTAATTTTGCAAGGCATATAATTCATGTAAATTGACTGTATATAACAATGTTTAAATCCAAAATATTCCAACACTAACTTATTTTACTAAAAGCCCTGGAAAGAACAGTTTTTATATATTGTATTGATGGAACAATAGAAAACAGCAGTGGGTGGGAAAAGGTTAGAAATAAAATTATGGACCGCAACCTGTAGTAGTACATAAGAATATGCAAAATTTGCTAGGGGCATGCAAGAAATCCCAAGGAAGAGACTCTGTGACACATTTGGAATAGATAGCAAAAGTATAATTTACAATCTAAACTAAAGGTTGTAATCTCAAGAGTTTGTCACAGAAAGGGAAGAAAAACAGTATATGCTTAAATTTAGCCACAGAAATTAATGAGAACTATGTTCTGGAAGTGGAGTACCAGGTAACTCCAGATCTCTATGTCCCATTGACAGTAATGACTGCCAACATGTCAAATCATGATCAGTAGTGTGGATTATACCAGAAAAGAAAGAGGTTCACTGGGAGACTACTTTCTTTTCTCCTCCTTCTCTGTGCAGCATCCTGTACCCCAAAATTTCTTTCCAGCAGGTGGCATGATCTTCCTGAAGAGGGAAGGATGTTGCTTGCGGGGGGTAGCTACTGAAGAAGGGGCAGATAATTTAATATGAAGCAGAAGCACCTTGCTTCAGCAATATTTACTTAAAAAGTACTTCCAACCATTGTTCATCAGCAAGAAGTTAAATATGCCACTTGAGCATTGTACTGAATAGTGTTACTCACTTCCCCCACCCAAACTGAAATAGTGGGGCTCTTTTCCTAAAACCATAGAGAAGAAAAACCTCTTCTTGGGGTTCCATGCAATCAAAAGATGGAGAAGTAAAAAATGGATAGTAAAGAACACAGGCTGTTGTTATGTAAGTCATGTAAGCGGTCATTCCATGCTTACACAGAAGTTGAAGAAATCAGGAGCATTCTTTTGGATCAGGGGAAAAAAGTTCAAGCACCCATTCTCTGTGTAGACAACTACCATCACCTGCCTCAACTCTTTCTGTTCATGAAAAGTAATCAATGGCAACAGTGACAACAGCAGTTAAAATCAGTGACACTCACCAAAAGAATAGTAGTCAAGGATAGGATCCTTGCAAAAAGACTTATAACGCCAGGTAACAACCACATCCTGTAGTGGTGCAGAGGTACTGTAGTCACACTTGAGGATCACAGAGGCAAATAATGTTGTGTATCGCTCAGTATCTGGCACAGTTACCAGAACAGAAAAGGTGCCTGCAATGAAGAAAACAAAAAACTGCTATCAAGAGACTCTTTGGGGGGAAATTATCAGCACCACCTTCAAGGTTAGCAGGAACTGAAATGCTCTACTGCTCTAAGAGACAAACCAGAAGACCCATCGGGGCAGACCATGAAAATGACTTGGAAAAAGTAGTTACATTTTGGAAGAGAAGCATGGCTGAACAGATGATCCTTCATATTCTCTTAGATAGTTGATTTAATAAAAATATTAAATATAAATATGCTAAGACTTCATAACAGTAAAAGAATTGCAAGTTAAGTAATGATTTGTAAATACTGTAGATAGCTCATCTACTAATGAACCTTTCATATCTAGCTTCTGGAAGAAGAAAGCAAGGTCACTGTAGGGAGAAGTCCTGTTAACTACGCTTTTGTTAAATTTCTCCCACTTTCTCATTTATGTTCCACAGCTGTTTTCTTTTCTGAACACAATGCAGTTTGCAGCTGTGTTTTGCAACACATATCCTGAGAGCAAGCATGGTACTGCAGTATTTTTGAGTAGAGGAATGGGGACTCTCCACATTCCTCCACTCTGCTAATGCAGTAATGCTTTAGAAGTAATGAATAAACCAAGGATTCAAGTTTCTTTAGCACCTTTAATTTAGAAAATTCACAATTTGGTGGAAAGGAAGGCTGATATATAATAACACGACATAAATTATTTCTGGCATATTGAAAGCTAATTTCTTTCTTAAATTTACAGCCTACACATTTTGCATAAGGGTTCTCAGAGTAGATAACAACCATTTAAAAGGAGAACAGTTTTTTCTCTCTAAAAGAACACCAGATAGTTCAACACACACCCATAACTAAAACTTAATTCAGAAATAAGTACCAGAAAAGACAGTGCTACAGACCTACAGTGGCTTAAAAGGTCTAAAAATCATAGGTCTAAAAGTCTAACACAAGATGTTTTTTACAGAATACTAGTAAGTACGTGTTTCCTAAGCATACATCACCTGAATATGCTTCCTAAGTATATACTGTACTAACCACATCCTCGTGTTTACTCTATCATAGGTAAAGATGATAACAGAAGAAAATCATTATTAGCATTAGCAACTCCAAATATATCAATATAAATCGAGATAACAAAATATAAATATGTGTTTTGCAAGATAAAATAACTCACACATTTTAGCCAATGACTGGCTAGAATTTAATTCCACACACATAGGAATGAACAAGTGCTACATTGTTCAGTTCTAAATACATGCTTAAATACCATTCTTTTTATGAGGGTGTGACAATGCCCAAGGATTAGAAAAAAAATTTTCCTTAGACTCTCTGACTTCAAAATTGCCAAATCACACCCCTGTCTACTACATCACTATATCTACATTGTAGCGATCCCTTCATAACAATGGCATTTCCTATAGACACATCTTGGACACGTTAAAGCTTCCCAGAGGCCTCACAAGTCCAATACTTATGGTTGTTATAAGAAAATTCAACTTAAATATGTTTAGAGACTTAATTGCACTGCTGCAGGTTTAAAATCTACTCTTGTAAGTTCTTTCTAAGTTCTTTGTAAGTTCTTTTTATTACTGTATCAATATTTGCACATTATCATTAAGAGCAGATAGCTCTTCCAGTATGGCTTCCACAAATTAGTATACAAAATCAAAACAATGTCTACAAAATCAAAACAATGCTCCAGTCCACACATTAGCATGCATTAAGTTATTCTGCATTGGAATTCACTTAAGCAGTATTGGCACAAGGCATTTTGAATTAAGAGGTGAAGCGTTAAATGCCATCCTTCCCTCCATACCTCCTATTCCCCATTCAGGTGCTGACCCAAGCAACAATTGATCCTTATGGGACAGTATCCTCCACAGATGGTAACTTGTGATATTCACAGCCAGCTGTATGGTGCCTATTACTCTCACCTCTACACTACCTTCTACTGCTCCCCAACACTTGTCCCCTGATGTGCTGGCCTCACTCTGTCTATTGGTAAAGCTAGCCCTACAACACATATATAATTCCTTTCAAATCATGTTCATATTGACATCAACCAGAGTTCAAATATTCGAAAAAGTGGACTGCAGAAGTTTCAACCATGCTAAATCGACTGGCTCACAACCACAAACGAACACAGTAATCTGTGTGCTGCCAAGTCAATCCGAATTTATGGCAACCCTTTTCAGGGTTTTCTAAAATACTTAGAAATGGTTTACCATTCCATTCTTTTGGATCATCCTGGGTCTGAGCAGCTTCCCCAAGGCCACACTGGCTGGGTCTTCTGGGATGCGTAATGGGGAACTGAGCTTCCAACCTCTAACTCCATAAGCCAGATACTGCACTCACCGAGCTATGCAGACTGCTCACACAAGAACATACGGAACTATTTATGCAGAGTCAGGCTACATTTTAATTAATGCAGCTATAGAGATGGGATATTTGTACTCATCTCCTGGGTGAACAGCTGAGCAGGGAGACTCATCATCCTGCCTCCTCGCTGGATTGGTCAGCAGTACAGAGAGGCAAGGATGATGTGAAGGACAATAGCTGCACATGCTGTGCCATAAGCAGTAAATGGGGGGGTCTGGTTCTGGGGGTAAGATCCAATATGCCCAGTCACCTACGGTGGCAATATCTGTATTCACCTCCCCTGGGAGACAAATACGAATATCCCATCTCTAGTAACTATTCAACTGAGAGCAGCTTTTTAAAAGGAATGACCCCAGGGCCTTGGATATATTAATTGGAGTGCAATCTTTCTTGAAATCAGAAATTTTCCTCTGTGTGGTAGAGTAATTGGAAGCACAGAAAAGATACCACAGAACAAAACTCTAGCACCGAATGACATTTTTCATGCCCATGTTGCTGTTTCCTCCACAAAGCCTGTACCTGCTGGTGTAAAGCTAACAACCTTGTAATACTGCTCTGAAGCTAAAAGGATGGGGGATGATCACATAGCAAAGGTAAAGGTAAAGGTTCCCCTTGACAATTTTTTTTGTCCAGTCATGTTCGACTCTAGGGGGCGGTGCTCATCCCCGTTTCCAAACCATAGAGCCAGCGTTTTGTCCGAAGATAATCTTCCGAGGTCACATGGCCAGTGTGATTTAGACACGGAATGCTGTTACCTTCCCACCGAGGTGGTCCTTATTGATCTACTTGCATTTGCATGCTTTCGAACCGCTAGGTTGGCAGGAGCTGGGACAAGCAACAGGAGCTCACTCCGTCACGTGGAGTCGATCTTACGACTGCTTGGTCTTCTGTCCCTGCAGCACAGGCTTCTGCGGTTTAGCCCGCAGCACCACCACATCCCTTCACATAGTAAAGGCAGTGAGTTATTCTGATACTCAGAATGGACCTGCCAAATAAGGTCTCATACAGTAAATTCCGGCTTTAAAAACAGGCAGAGGCAAAGCATGGCAGACACCTCAAGCCCTAGAGGTTGGTGAAGAAGTGCACAGAGAAATGGCAAGGCATTGAAGGAAAAAGCTGTGCCCTCAGGTAAAGGGAAAACTTATCCATTCATTAGTCTTCCAGTACAATTCAACTGCTAGTCCAGCTCATTTCTGTGTGAAGATCAAGGAGTGGGTGGCCATTGGCCACTCTTTATTTGGCCTCAGCAAAATACAATGGACCACTTCTGGATATATTTTAAAATGTGCTGCAGCTACCTGAAAGGGAAATACAGTATACAGGAATGGCAATGATCTGTTCAGATATGTTTACTGAGAGGTTCCAATAAATTCTATAGCATTTCTTTTTTAGTTTATTGCACAGACGACTGCAATTAAATGTAAGCACACTAGCTATCAGGGCAAAACAAAAATAAAAAACAAGGAGAACGCTATCAGGGCAAAACAAAAATAAAAAACAAGAAGAGGAGAACGCTGCTGTGGCAGCTTAAAGACTAACTGCTATAGTTTAATGTGAGTTTTCCTGGACAAGTCCACTTCCTCAACTAGTGAACTCTTACTCTCTTGACCATCATTTTTATCTTTGTAGATTCAAATTGTGAAAGACAAAAGTTGATCGAGTACATATGCAAACATACTTTCTGGGGCACACAGAAAGGAAGAATGTGGCCCTCCAGGAGATCTTACTATCAGGAAGCTGCTACAAGCAGGAAGTGGGGTGGGGGACGACAAGAAACTCAGGTAGGGGTCACCTCCTGCCGCCGTCAACGTGAACCATCGAAAGAGAGAAAAAGACAAAGTGACCTAGAAGAGGGTGAGGCCCCACCAACTCTGTTGCCGCCCACCACCCCGCTTCCATCAACTCACCTGTCGGAAAGCAGGTGAGGCCGAAGAACAGAACGTGGTGCCGCCATAGCCAGTTACAGGCCATGGCGCCTCCTCCCACTGGCCGGAGCCTGTGCACAAATCTTCCCCCGCCCTTCCCTGGCGCGACTCCGAATTCAACGAGCCATCAATCTCTCTCTCTTGAGAGATGTTTCTTTTCTTTCAGTCTCTCCCCGGGAACGAAAGAGAATCTGGATCGCCCCCCCCCTCCCCTGGAAAGGCGCGAGCCTGTGCAAGGTAGAAGCACTTCCTTCCCTTCCTCGCGCTCCTCCGGCACCTGTGGCGGTGCAGCACTTTCCCTTTTCCCCCTCCAGCTGCACCTGTGGGTGCCGCCGCCGCCGCCGCCACCCGCGCCTGTTGGACTGGCTACCTGCGGTGGTTCCTCCCCACAGAGCTATCCGGAGGCCAGTCGCGCCCGTCTGTTCTTCTTTGCACGGCCATGGGCAATCCATCGTGTCGATGTCTCCTCAAAAGTAAACACCCCCCTCCCCCCGGGTTTAGAGGGACAGACGCTCAAGTCAAGAGTGCGTGGACTCGCAGACTTCAAGGCTAAGTTCGAAGACGCCGCAGTTTGTTGGACAGGCAAGTCTTTTGAACGTTTTCTCGGGAGTAAAAGACTACGGAGAATACAATACAGTTGAAGCTCAAGTAATCTGTTTTCTGAAACTCCCGTTTTTACGCAGCCTTTTTGATCCCGAAGGCGGTTCGTAGCAAATTAAACACACAGGACACACAAGTTTATTTAATCGCATTTAAATCAGGATTGGAACCTATGTGCAATTTTAGTGGGTCTGCCAAATTCATCAAAATCACCGCATTAAATTCTGAGAAACGCGCTCAGGGAAACAAGAACAGTTCCATACACAGTTTAGCACCGTGCACCTAACTTTGCATAAGTTGTTTGTTACTTTAAAAACAAACAAACGGTGAATACGCGTGCAGTCTAGCATTTAGCTGTTTTACCCGCCGCAGTACCTAGCTCAGGATCACCAGCAGATGACTCCCATCCAAACAGCTTTAAAAGGCACGTCAAGTATCCTCGCCGAGGATAAACGAGGGATCGCTGGCAGAAAGTTTAAACCTGCCCTGCCTAAACGCGATGGTCCTGATCCAGATCCGTTTTGCGCGTGCTACTTTGCAAGGACCAGATCCTGTGGGGCACGCGACGTGCTTACTTTCATTCCACCCAGTCATGCGTTGCTCTTTATTTCCATCTGTTAAAACTCGTAAAACAAAACACGTTAGGAATGCAGAGTTGACGACAACTGCAAAACAGGTTGAGTTACTAGTTCGGTTTCAGGCCTCCCTTTCCCTCCCGCCCCAGGTCTCTCAAAGAAATTCAACGGGGCAAGCTTTTCTTTTCTCATCCTTGCAGCTGCACCAGTTGGGTTTCTGCTCACCGTGCATCTGTTCAAGGCACAAGACGTTTTCCGGAAGACTGTCCGCAAGCGTTGTAAGTCACATGTAGAAATTATACAACGGCGAAGGCATATTTGTTATTGTTTTGTATCTAATTTTAAATGAAATAGAAACTCTGTGCGCACTTACTTAGAGGAAAGCCCAGTGAACGCAGTAGCACTTTCCAATTAAGGAGACAAAGAAGAAATTGGCTTAAGAAAGTCTCTGTCCGCTACCCTTTTGCTGTTTACCGTTGATGACAAATTTACAAACTGTAGTTGCAAACTTTCTCAGCAAATTTCGTCTTCTTTTCTCTCCTGTAGAGTATCTTTAAGTTTTCATTTTATAATCCTTTGCAGAAACACCTTATATTATGATCTCCTAGAAAAAGCCACGGGGAAAGAACAGCAGTTTCAACTCGCTCCTCCCCGGCAGTCCAATTTTTCATGATCTTGAGCAATTCTCCTGAGCGCGCTCTGTTTTGGAACTCCATTTCCCGGGAGTCTTTGCCGGTCGGGAGTTTGTTGCTTGGCAACGGGCGTAAACCAGCCATGGAGCCGAAGGGGGAGAAGGAAGGAAAAGATGGGAAAGGTAACACTTACCCTTCGTTCTTGATTTTAGACGTTACACACACACACACGGACTTAACTCCGTTGCCCCCGAGGAGCCCGCTCGCGAGCTGGATTTTTTCTCTCAGCAGAAATTGTGTTCTTTGCTCACAATTGAGGAAGCAGCTTATAAGTAGCCAGCTAAAAACGGCCCTGAAGTAGTGGGCAATCTTTGGAGGTCAACAGAACTTTTCTTCCAGCTTGATGTTAAATAAAAGGAGATAGGAAGTACAAAATAAATAAATAAATGTTAAATAAAAGGAGATAGGAAGTACAAAATAAATAAATAAGTATAAATAAAAGCAAAGCAAAATAGCATAATTTTAAAAAGGCAGCCCTGATTTGCTCAATACTGGGTCAACAATAAAATAACTATCTCCATTATAGCACTTTATTTAACATTTGAGTTGAAGAAAATTATTTATTTATTGCTGGTAAACATTGGTGAGGTGTTGTTTGCATAATTATGTTGTAAACTGCCAAGAGAGTGCTTTTAATACTATTGGGCAATATGTAAATTGAAACCACAACAATTTGGAAAGTTGCTTGCTATTTTTTCATCTTAATTTTATAACCTGAATGTAACTTTGGTTATCTTTGATGTGTTGATTTAACTTGAGTCTGTATGGTGTAGTGGTTAGGGTGTTGGACTTACCTACGACTTATATGTTGTAAACTGCCAAGAGAGTGCTTTTAATACTATTGGGCAATATGTAAATTGAAACCACAACAATTTGGAAAGTTGCTTGCTATTTTTTCATCTTAATTTTATAACCTGAATGTAACTTTGGTTATCTTTGATGTGTTGATTTAACTTGAGTCTGTATGGTGTAGTGGTTAGGGTGTTGGACTTACCTACGACTTAGGAGGCTTGGGGTCCAAATGCCCATTTGACCACGCAACTCACTGGATAACCTTGGGTAGCCTGACCAACTTTGCAGAGTTCATATCAGGAGAACCATTTATGCTGCCTTGAGCTCACTGGACTTAAAGGTAAAGGTAAAGGTTCCCCTTGACAGTTTTTGTCCAGTTATGTTCGACTCTAGGGGGCGGTGCTCATCCCCGTTTCCAAGCCATAGAGCCAGCATTTTGTCCGAATTCAATCTTCTGTGGTCACATGGCCAGTGTGACTTAGACACGGAACGCTGTTACCTTCCCACCGAGGTGGTCCCTATTGATCTACTTGCATTTGCATGCTTTTGAACCGCTAGGTTGGTGGGAGCTGGGACAAGTGACGGGCGCTCACTCCGTCGCGTGGATTCGATCTTATGACTGCTTGGTCTTCTGACCCTGCAGCACAGGCTTCTGCGGTTTAGCCCACAGCGCCACCACATCCTGGACTAAAAGCAGGATGTAAATGCAATTAATGGATAAATAAATGCAGATTGTTAAGTGGATATCTAAGAAATAATTCCTTGTCCTAGGATGTTCTCCTTCCAAGTGGTAGCCTAAGCTAATTACTTCAGCTTTTTATGGATATTAATAATTATTGATTGCTAACTGCATTTCCAGAATGTATTTACCACATTCTTCAATTGCCCAATAACAAATGTACTCTGGGCATTTAGAACAGTGTTAAAAACCTATACCCCCATTCAATAAACATGAATGTTGCTCTGCCTTTTACCAATAATCTGGCATTTGAAGTATTCTGACTAAAAACAAAACCAAGGATTAATAATTGAAAAAGAAATGTACCCCTTTAAATTAATTAATGTGTACTACTGCACATTATGGAATACCCAGTAGATGTAGTTAGTTTTCATGATTGTGATAAAAATAATGAAGTGCTGAAGAGTCAGAAATTTTTTTAAAAGTCCTACATTGGTTGCTGAGATATCATTGCAGTAGATTTATGTTGCAGCAAAATTAAACAGTATTGTGAGACACAGAATCGTAGAATAAGGGATTTGGAAGGGGCCTATAAGCCTGTCAAGTCCAACCCCCTCCTAAGTGCAGAATCTAATACCTTAAAGACTAGGGCAGCAATCCTAAACACACTGACTAGGGAGTAAACCTCACTGAACTCCATGAGGCTATATTATAACGGAGAAAGAAAATTGAATTGTGCTCATTCTTTTTAAATTGAAAGGTATCTTGCCACAGAAATCTCACTCTGTGTAGGCACATAACTTGATTGGATCATGGTGACAGAGGGTAATTGCTCCAATTCAGTTCTCGTTCGTAGTCCTTTTAAATATTTTCTTGTCAAGGCAAGAAAGTGTACTGGTCCACACTATCTTCAATACCACGTAGTTTAAAAACAGATGAAACCTACCTAAATTCATGGCATGATTTTGACATTTGATTTATCTGATGCTCTTTATTTTGTGCTTATTTTTCTACCTAGCCCCACCCCCATATTCAAAACTCATTCTATAATTTTGTACTTATAATTCTGTGAACTCTAGTAATATTGTTTTACTCTAGGTTAATATATAACTGCAAGGAAGGAATAATCTACTGCTCTATAAGGAGTTCCATATAATATTTTATGTCTTTGGAGGAGTGGAGATTTGCTTCCATACATAAAGTGTGGAAGAAAACACATTTATATACTGTTCTTTGAATGTCGTGTTGCCACCTGGTGTGAGCAATTAGTATAGAAAGAGATCACCTTTTGAACGTTCAGCCTATTACACTGTTACAGCAGTGCCACTGGTTGCTGGTTCATTTCAAGGCGGTTTACTAAAAGGATCAATGAATACCATACAAAGAAAAGAAAAGAAAAGAAAAGAAAAGCAACACAAAAACATTGCATGCAGTAAGGTACAACAATGTATTTAAAAAAAATTCTACTTAGCAGTCGTTAACTCAGGAAAAGCTTGTCTGAGGAGAAAGGTCTGGTTGCAGAAGGACATTCGGTAATTTCTTAACTTTTGTAGTTTGCCTGCAAAAGAGATGCTATTTGCATAGCTGCATAAGAGGATGTTAGCCACTGTTTCCCTGTCAACCGTTTACACAATAAACATTATTTCTTACTTCATTAGGATTCAGTAGAGGGTGTAAGCACATTGGAATTCTGGCTGGTCAGAAGATGGCAATCATCACTCAGATTAAAATATTTATTCTATTAATTGTCATGTTGTCTGAAATGTTTTATAAATTCTAGTATTTTCAGCTGTTTTTTTTAAAAAATAATCCATGTTAACATTGCCAATGGCCTGCATAGCAATGAGAAAATCAGTAGATTTCCTTTATACATTTCCTGGCTTTCTATGAATAGCTGGAACACTGAATGTGAAAATTACAAATTATGTTATCTAAAGCATTGTCTAAAATACAAATAGTCTGTGCCTTTCTTTTCAGACCAGAATGCACCATCAGAAGCACCAGACAATTCAGGGGAACAGAAGGAAGGAGCAAAGAACATTGCAGATGGTAAGCATTACTCGCACATCTGTACAGCCTTAAATACTATTTGAAGTGACTCTGGATATAGAACATAAAGATATGCCCACAGTAAACAAAATGAGTTTTGTGCTTTGAAGAAAATGATACTTTAAAAGCTGTTCTGTGATTTATGGCTTGGTATTCAATTGTCAAAGAATTAGGATGAACTTGTGTCCCCAATAATAATTGAATTTATATTCTCGAAAGCTTTCATGGCTGGGATTTGATGGCTGTTGTGGGTTTTTCGGGCTCTTTGGCCGTGTTCTGGAGTTTGTTCTTCCTAACGTTTCACCAGTCTCTGTGGCTGGCATCTTCAGAGGACTGGAATACGAACTCTGTTCATGCTCTGTTCAGATGCTCTGACAGAGCATGGACAGAGTTCCTACTCCAGTCCTCTGAAGATGTCAGCCACAGAGACTGGTGAAACGTTAGGAAGAACAACCTTCAGAACATGGCCAAAGAGCCCAAAAAACTCACAACAACCATCGAGAATTGAATTCTCTTCTAGTACTAATAGTGTTCTATGATTCTATTGTCTCTAAATGAATATCTCTATACATATGAATTGGGATATGCATAATTTATACGAATCAGTGTTCTCATTTGTCATCTATTTTTGTTGGCAGATTTCATCTTTTTAGCAATGTATATGTTGCCACTCTGCAAAGGACAGAGCACTCTGTATATATATTCAAAATCAGTCTTCTGTAGGTCCCAAAGAGCTGAATTATCTCAATTCAGCACTTCCCTTACCTCCTTCCCAGTGCACAACTATTGTCTTAGTGGCGTCCTATTTATCCAAGATCCTTTGAAAGAGTCTTCTCTATCCTAATTTTTTGCCTCACTCCCAAATATCTCCTGAAGTGAACGTGAAAAAGCTCTTAAATGTTAAAAGAAAACTGATAATGAATACATGAATTGGGAACTTGTTTACTACTCGTTTATTGGGAACTCGTTTACTCCTAACAAAAGAGCTGATTAAACTGTCAGCGTTTCTGCTTGCTTTGTGACAAGAGTAGGCAACCCATGGCATTCCAGATGTTACTGGACTGCAATCCCCTCCAGCTCAAATCACCATAGTCAATGGTTGCAGCCAGATATCATATAGAGGGACTCAAGTTCCCTATGTCTGGTCTGTGTGATCATGGCAGTTGAGAAACATACTGTTGCAATAATATTGGCATTGCCAGGAAGCTACAACATATGTATAAGCCACATGCAGTTTGCTTGTTGTAGTCCTCAATATAGACATGTCCTTTAAGAAGTTATAATATTGTAAGGAGCCATTTTTATTTGCCCGTTCAATTGATTTGTCACCTCCGCAGAGAATCAGTTTAAAGTTTATTCAGTTTGGACAGGATGCTTTTTATGCACATCTTAATCTAAGCTGCTGGCAGTTGGTAGAAGGCATGATATACTTTGGTAAAAAAGAAAAGAAAATTGACACATAAATATGTTCTTCAGATAAACTCAGAATGTGACTCATTTTTTTTCCTCTGTCAGTTTCCCATGCTAGAAATTTGTTTTGACATTGCCTTAGTACCATGTGTATAGTCTTCCGTTTCACGAGCTGTGTCTCTTCCTATGTCATTTTATATTCAAAGAAGAAAGGTAAAAACATTTCCAGCACAAGCATTTAAAGAAAATATACGTAATTTTTGTTTTCAGAAAAGAAAGTATCTCCTGAACATGAAGAAGAAGAAAAAACAGCAGAAGATGATGAGGGTGAGGGGAGTTTTGGCAGTGAGGGTGAGTATTTCTAGCAATTTCAGGCTTAAGTTTAAATAAATATTTCTCTTGTTCATTGTTTGATCGGTTATACTTCTTACTTAACCTTAAGCATGCAGCTAGCATCTGCAAAGTCTGGCCCAAGATTCCTGGTCACAAAGAATTCCTTAGACCCTAGAACCAACTTGCTTGGAAACTGCCTGTGTGGTTGGTTGTTCAAGTTTCTGGAGTTCAGAACCTGTGCTGAATAGCTTAATGTATTACAGTATTCATGTTAATATCCTGAAGTCTAGTCCCATAACCCAACCTTATATGCTCAAACTTCACTGTATAAGATTGGACATCCAAGTATGTATTCATATAAAATTTATATATGCCTCTTAAACTGAAGTCACACTGAGATTTGAGAATCATCCTGACAGAACTGTGCAACTGATGAGATATTAAAGTTATAGGTGCCTCACAGACCTTAGAGTGTGACCACAGATTGGAAGGGGATTTGTATCCCTGATTCTGCCTCATATAAGGACAATCTTCTGCATATTTATGGGGGAGTAAGCTTGATAAAGGTCATTGATGCTTACTTCTGAATAAATACATCTAGGATTGCAGTTTAAACTGCTTACACAACATAACTCTGACAATTTGTTATCCCCACGAGTACATACTCTTGTCTATATCATAGCTTTGAAGAGGACATTTCTTCCCCTGCATCACAGACTGACTTACTAAGGCTGCAATTGCATGGTCAAATACCATGGGATTTGCCCCACTTATAAAACAGGTGAAACTGAAATATTTTTACTGACCCCATGATGAAATGTTGCTTTGAATTGATCCAGTCCTTTTTGATCCCAAAGCAGCTTTTTTTTCCTCTGCCTCTTGGGGGCAGGTTGGGGGTGACTTTTTCAAGCCAGAACGGTTCTAATGGGCCTTTACACCAGTAGAGTTTGCTTCAAGTGTCTGAGCCCAGAACAGTGTTTATGGTGAAATTCTGGAAGTTCAGACCTTGCCAGTTTTCCTCTTCTTTCTTTTCCTATTAACATCTCAAAAGTATTGTTCATTTTTCATCTGTTTCTGAAAGTTCTTTATTGTCACAGTTTTGGTAACAGGGACATATGACAGCTTAAATGCATTTCATTGTGATGCATTTGGGCTCCAGATTTCTAATAAAAAAGAAAACATTCCTGTGATAATTAGATTTTTCATTTTACAACTAATTCAGTTTGCTTTACATTTATATTTTGTAGTCTGTATTATTGTCCTTTGCTTCAGTCTTGGATTTTCAGGAGTTGCCCTCCTTTTTACATTTTTATATTTTGAGGGTTGGTTGGTGGGGTTGGTTGTTTTCTTTATATTTTTCTTTGTTGTTGGAAAACCAGAGTAGCGACATGCCACTAAATGGCGTAGTATTGAAATATAGTCAGTCAGTCAGTCAGTCAGTCAGTCAGTCAATCAATCAATCAATCAATCAATCAATCAGTCTTACATATTATAAGGTGTCACTTCTGTCTCTCACAGTATGTCAAGCTGTTCCCAGGATATGATGTGTTCCACCAATATCTGATCATACCTGGGGTCAGGGTTGTATTTGACCCTATAATTTGCGCCGTATCCTTTTGTATAGCACAAATAATAGACCTCAAGCTTCCAGAAGTGGAAGTCTGAGAGATAGAACCATCACCTCAGTGAACAATAGTCATAATAAAAAATGCTTCCAAAAAGAAGGAAAAAAACTCAGAGTCTGTATTTTTTTTAATAAAGGAAATAGCATAGAAATCAGTCTTAAGCTGTAGTCATGTGGTGGCTAGAACCATCATATAATTACCCATGAATTCCAATATCTAACCTTTCTGAAAAATACATGTGCTCCCTTGTTTTGACATTTTGAGATGAAGAAGAGGAGGAGGAGGAGGAACAGCCACCAGAACCTGAAAAACCTGAAGAACCAGTGAAGAAGAAGAAGAAAGAAATAGTGGAGAAGAAAATTTCTGAAAACTTCTACTATAACTATGAAGAGTTGTGCTCATTCCCATATGTCACTCCAGATTCTGGCATACCACTTAATATGCTCACTCTTATGTATCCGTTTTGACAGTGCTGCATTAATTTTGAATTTGAGTAAGAGTTCACTCAGATGTTCAGTGGAATAATCTTGGGAGGCAGAATGGAATACATGTGTATGTGTCTAATAAACAGAAAGTTCGATTTGGGCTGAAGAAAACTTGTTTTAAGTTCCTGCTCAGCCATGGAGGTTTCTGGGTAGCTTTCAGGAAGGTGCTTTCTCCTTCCCAAAAGCTATCCAGTGGTTTTGTGTTGTTAAAAGGAAAGGTAAACCTAGTATTATGGTCTGAGAATCACCTAAAGACAATCTGGATGAGAAGAACATATTCATTCATTACTGCATTCATGGAAGGCAGTAATGCTCCCTCCCTGCACTATTTTTCCCCCAGAAAGTAATATTGGATGCTTTTGAAATGTATGTATCAAACATAATTAAATAAATGGACTGACATGTGAGAAACAGCAAAATTAATACAAATCTCTATAATTGAGGAAATGGAAAATAAATTATAACTACTAGATATGAACTATAGTTTGTTCTGGGAATTGAATGTGTTTTGAAAGAGAGAACATGTCTCTTTCCTTTTGGTCCTGTATTACAGAGGAGATAGGTGATCTAAATGGGGCTAAGGGTCATTTTTAGATTTCCCAACAGCCTGAGGATTGCACTTAGAAATGTGATATGTAATACTGTATATATGCTCTCTTTCTCTTTCTTTCTCTCTCTCTCTCCTCTTACTATGCTCTCTGTTATTGGTAATTCAAAACTAGCCTTGTAGTTGGAATTACAACTTAGTATATTGTATTTAACTGATTTTGTCTCACTTTTATTAGTGGCATATGCACTATTACAAGGAAAAAATAAAGCCTAAGTTACAGCATTATACATTTTTCTTAATGAATATTCCTCAGGCACTCTTTTGGTTATGACTGCATGAAACGTGCAAACATCCAGATGCTGGATAGTCAAACTCTACTCTACATAGCTGGCAATCAGCTAGTGCTTCTGGACTTGAAATTTAAGTATCAGAGATACCTTCGAAGTACAAGCGGTGGAGGGATTGGTGTCATCACGGTATGAAATTTATCTTGTAAGATCCACTGCTTGTTAGTAGAGAGGGCTTTGCAAAATTTGCATGGTCTTTGATGGGAGGTTTTCTTACTCTCTTTCTGAGAACTATTTTGAGCTCTGGCTTACGTCTTAGAGCAGAAACAGACGTGATCAATAATACATATTTAGAGCTGGAAGCACATTAATATTAAATAGAGGTGACTCTCCAAAACAGTGTTTCAGTAAAGATCTTTGATGCAATGAGATTAAAATAAGTATTAAGAAAAGAAAGATTTACTTGGATAAATATAAGACAGTTAGATAATTGGACTAAGTTTTGGATTAAAACAAGAGAATGTAAGGTAATGACTGAATTCAAAGAAATTATTGAGAAAAGAGAAGAGATGAACGGTCATTACCAAAGAAAAGGGATAATAAGTGTAATATATAAGATGTTACTTGAGGATGAATATAAAACAACAGCATTAAAACAGGTATGGCAAGGAGACTTTAACAAAGAAATTAAGGAAGTACAGTAATGTGGAATACGATAAGGGGGGAAAGAATAATGAAAAACATGTCAGTGAGAGTAAAGGAAAATTGCTACAAAGTTATATGAAGATGGTACTTAACACCAGTAAAATTGCATATGATGAATAAAGAGGTATTATACTCTATGTTGGAGACGTAAGAAGGAAAAAGGAACATATTATCATATGTGGTGGACTTGTGTAGAAAAACAAAAGGAATGGAAAACAGTATTTAGTGAGATAAAATAAATTATAGGGATAAATATAGAAAAATGGCCAAGGATATCTTTGCTAAACATAGTTAGAAACTGATAAATAGAAAAGGTGGTAAGGAACTGATTATAATTATGGTGACAGCTGCAAGATTAATAATGGCAAAGAACTGGAAAAATAATAAGCAGTTAGTTGAGCTTAGAAAAATGGTATGATGAAATCTGGAATTTAGCCACTAATGACAAACTGACATGTGAACTGAAAGTTAGAAAATGACTAGTGAAAGAGGATGTTTTAAGTCAAATTTGGAACAAATTTATAGAACATGTATTTTTAAAACATAAAAGATATACCCCACTAGAAGAATCAATGCAGTTTTGGAATGAGACGGGATGCATAAGTTAAAACAAGAAATGAAATTTTGAAAACAATTGTAGGTACATGTAGTAAATGTATTGTTATATAATCCTGAGGGTGGAGGGTAATATAGCACAAATGTGTTGTGGGGAATATATGTATTATTTATGTAAAAATAAAAATTATTTAAAAAACAAAGTAGTGTTTCAGACATGCTAGATCAAACTTGCAAAGAATCTTGCACTTCTGTCCTGAAGACACAAAACAGCAATCCCTAGAAGTAGGGAAGAAGTTTTCTCTTCTAATAAAGGGCTATCAATGACTGTTGCTTTTACCCTTAGGAAGTAGAGGGATCTGTTGCTATTGTCTAAGACTTGATTAATTTTGCATTGTTCAGTCAATCAATTGTTTATTTATGATCAAAGACCAGATTTGCATTGTTTATGATGAAAACAATTTGTTATTATAATATCACACTCAGCAGCCTATTCTAGTGATATGTGTCATTTTAGGTTTTGTGTGGCGGCGGTAAGAGGAGCCTCTCTGAAGAAGATAGAATTCAGAATAGCTAAAGAATTATTTTCTGGAGATAGGCAAAGGAGGTTACTATTATTCAGTTTAAATTGTTTTTGTTTCTACTAGGTACACCCCAGTAAAACACACTTTGGAGTAGGGGAAAAAGGATGGAAACCAAACATGATTATCTATGAATATCCTTCCTTAAGACCATACAGAATATTACGAGGTATGGTGCAGTTCAAGATTTCAAATGTCTGCAGAAGAATTAGCAGTCTCCGAAGAGAAAGCAATTTTATAGTTTTAATTTGTTGCATGTTACAGACTCTTATTCTGTATTAGTTCTAATGCTAAGGAGACTGAGTAAAATGGCAAGTTTTAAAAAGAGTGTGAGGGAAATGTTAGTTCATCATTTTTCAAAATTATTTTATTTTCAGTTGTCTGTGGTTCCTACGGATTGGGTTCTGATGTATTGTCTGATTTGGACAAAATTTTAAACTGATTAATGGTACATTCCACTTGAGGTATTTTCAGCAAATGTTGGGTATATAATTTATAAATTGGAAGCTGATTGGCTAGCACATGGATTCCATGTATCATACTAAGAAACTTGTTTTCTTATCTCATTTCTAGGTGGAACAGAGAAAGCGTATGTATCTGCTGACTTTAATCGTTCAGGAACCTTAATGGCCACTGTTGGGAGCAGCCCTGACTACATGCTGACGGTTTGGGACTGGAAACAGGAAAAGATTGTATTGAGATCAAAAGCATTTTCACAGGATGTGTATAAAGTCACATTTTCTCCAGAAAATGAAGAACAACTAACCACATCTGGTTCATGCCACATAAAGTATGCCAGCAGAATTTTTTCTCAAGGACTTAGTATGGCATGTTAGCAGCCACAAAGAGGGATCAGATTGAATTGCATTTGGTTTAACTCACATTGGTTCAGAATAAACTGAGTTGGTTCTTGAGTTTTTGGACAAAATAGCTCAGATTATTATGTGTCAATGAAAGCCAAATGGGATGGGATAGTTTGTGGGAGGAAAGTGGAAAGGCCTGGGTTCTCCCAAAAATTACACAAATGCAAAAGTAGGTGATACCTTTTATTGGACCACTAAAAAATTCAAACAAATAGCAAGCTTTCATGGAATAAAGTTTGCTATTTGTTTGATTTTTTAGTGATCCATTGAAAAGTATCACCTACACTTGCATCTGTATAATCTTCAGGACCACATTAGCTCTTCTCTTTCTTGTTGTGGATTATATAAGCTATCATTGATGGCTGGGCATAGTACCACCTACAAGATATTATGGACTCTCAGCACCAGCCATGTGAATTCTTCACATGAACCAGAGATGACCAGAGTATGAACTTATGCCCACCAGGTGAAAATACTAATCAGACTTTTGTGGGCCCTAATTTGTGCTGAAAGCTGCTGTGTCTGTGTTGTCTTTCATTCCCAAGTGGATTTAATTCATGAAAGTTTGCAATTTGTTTTATTTTTTAGTGGACCAATAAATGGTATCATCTATCCTTGCAGTTGTGGGAAGAGTGTATGTATATAGAGGGTTTGGAACTGTTAAAATTATCCAATTGGAGTTTCATTTTATGAAGTTATTGAATGTGCAGATAAAAATCCATTTTATCCAGTTATTATATTATGCAAATAGAGTGAACCTGTGCTAAAAAGATGATACAAAGTAGCATGCAGTAAATTGCTTTTATTTCACACAGATTCAAATGTAATAGTAAACGGTGGTTTAGTGTTCAATCTGGTGATGCCTGGGAACTCCTGCTCTCCTATGGCACAAGTGCAAGGAGAACATGAGAAACAATCACTTCAATTTACAACTAATCATGGTCAATTGGAGAGCTCAAAACCTTTTTGGACTGCAACTTCCAGAACCCTGCAGCTATTGGTTAGTTTAAAAGAAAATCCAAAACTTGATTCCCTTCTTGTGGCAGCACTGGAAGAGGCAAGGGGAGTATGAGTGCCCAAGGCTAATCCATGTTCATGCCTCTAGTTTTAAACTGTGACCTTTGCATCCTTGTACAACCATCTACTGCCTATCAAATGCCATATATATTCTGCTGAGAGAGGTTACTTAATTTTGACATGATTTTGAGATCTCTCTCTCTCTCTGTCTCTGTCTCTCTCTCTCTCTCTCTCTGTGTGTGTGTGTGTGTGTGTGTGTGTGTGTGTGTAGGTTTTGGAAGATGGCCCTCACTTTCACAGGTTTGAAACTACAAGGAGCCCTGGGCAGGTTTGGAAAAACAGCACTAACGGACATTGTAGGGTACATGGAGCTGCCAGATGGGAAGGTATGAAACATTTTTACCCTTTAAAGTTTTTCCAGATAAAAGCAATGAACCCCTTTATGCTGTTGCACATTTGCAGCGAATAATACTAATAATCTGTTGCCGTGTAGAAATGCCTGATGTTTCTGTGTATGCTGTTGCCTGGAATTAAAGTGAGTTTTCCCACCATTCTACGGCAAGAGAGCATTCTGGGTGTTTTTTATTTTTATTTTTATTTTTTTAGAAAGTTGTATTAAAAGCAAAGCGTGCTGCTTATATACCGCCCCATAGTGCTTCAAGCACACTCTGGGCACTTTACAAGTTAATTATGCAGGCTACACATTGCCCCCCCCCCAGCAAGCTGGGGACTCATTTTACCGACCTCAGAACAATAGAAGGCTGAGTCAACCTTGAGCGGGCTACCTGGGACTGAACCCCAGGTCGTGAGTACAGTTTTGGTTGCAGTACAGCGGTTTAACCACTGCACCACGAGGCTCATTAACTCGAAGTCATATATTTTGGCTGGCAGGTAGAAACAACTGGTGACCCAGAAACTGCATCCACTTCCTTGAGGTCTTAAGTATGGGAAGGGGGTGAGTAAGGTAGAGAAAAGGATTCCCCTTCCCAATGAGGAAAGAGTGTGTTTGTTTCTTTGTATAGTAGATATGTGTGATAGGGTCCCCAATCCCCAAAACAGTATATCATGAAGCCTGCAGGACTATAAAAATTGTGTGCCCGTGCTGTGGGGCATTACTAAATGATAGAAATTTGCTCTAAAGTAGAAATCCAACTGTTTTCAATGTATGACCCTGATAATCTTTTACACACACCCCCCCAAGTAAAGATTCATTCAATTCCTTCAGGATTTTTCTGGGCAAAAGGGTGTATTATTGCAATCTTAATTTACAGTAGAATTCTACATTTATCTATTCAGAAGAAACATTTCACTGATTTCAAAATACTCACTCCAAAAAAACTGGATATAGGAATGTTTCCATAGTCTCATTTCCATTTAGTTTGGCATTTATCTTTCTAATACTGTATTTGTTTTTGAACCAGCTTTATATTCTGCAAAACATCTCTTTTGAACCCACATCCATATGATATAATACCAAATTGTTGTATTTGGTATTATATCATACACATCCATATGATATAATACCAAATTGTTCTTTTATTTTCTACTAAAGGTACTTTCAGGGTCAGAATGGGGAAATTTGCTACTTTGGGAAGGAGGACTCATAAAAGTTGAAATTTGTCGTTCAGGACATAGAAATTGCCACAATGGCCCAATTAATCAGGTGATTCTAGATGAAGGAGAGGTGGTCACTGTTGGATCTGATGGTTACATCAGGGTGAGTATTCTTTTAAGAATGGATGTACTGAGCTTACCAAAGCTTCATTCACTCTTTACATTCCATCTCTAGCAATTGTCCCAAACTTTCCAGACAGAAGTCTGCGAGAGGCTACCTTTCCAAACTGTTTTTTTATTTCAAGGAAAGCCTCCCTTGGTGCCAGTGGATTTTCCCTTTAAAATGATGGTAGCAGCTTTAGAGACATGGTTACCCAGGCAGTTAATCAACAGTTTTGTGGAAATTGTGGCATGGAAAAAATCCTCATGGTTTCTTGGTAACTCAGGCTTCCCCATTGAATAATTCTTGCAATATCTCTTTTAAATCAGTAGTTGAATCAGTTAGCTAAATATGAAAGACCATTTTGTGTTTTATTTACCTAATATTTTTCTCATACAATCTATTATTTCTAATATTTGGCATTTGACAATAATAAGAGCATTATTATTTTCTCTCACAAACTCTATTAAGGTTTGGGATTTTGAAACAATAGACACAGCTGATATTGTGGATGATACTGGACTGTTGGAGATGGAATATATGAATGAACTTTTAGTTGGCAAAAATGTTAGTCTGAGCTACATGATGAAAGTTCATGAACGTGGAGAACCATATTGGTATGCTCAGGTATGATGTATTGATTTCTTTATTATAAATAGGATGTTTAAAAGGATTATTTTAGGTGGGGTTAAAGATAGCAGGCAGTGCCCAATGATAGAGAATCAAGGACTGAATCAGTGAGGTGATTCTGGAGCAGGTATCATCATATTCCATGTAAAAAGCGGGCTGGTATGATAGTGGCAAGTACTGCTGCATGAGACCAGAGGATACCCTTTCATTAATGTCACCGGAGCATATTCTGGATTTTTATTTTATGGTCTGATAACATCACATTAAAACATCTGCCTAATTAGATCTGATCATAATAACTCTGTTGCCTGTGTCATATTGCCACATTCCGCAAACAGATTTGAAGCTTTAGTGAGTTGGAGTTGTTTGTCTTTGTTATACAGCAGTTCAAGTAGTCTTTCTCCTTTGTTTCTGTTACTGCGACTCTACCAGGATTTTAGTGTGCAAGAACTGTAAAATGGATGTGATCCCTGGGTTTTAGGACAGAACCACTGAGCTAGAAATATGATGGCTTATTGCCTTTTGGTGAATATCCAAAGGAATTGATATAAAAACATACATAATCTCTGGTTTGTACTTTGGGATCAAAGTTGCATTGTACTTTGAAGAACCAAAGTGCAATACAACTTTGATATTTTCTGATAGTTCAAATTTCTGTTGGTGTGTCACTCTCTGTTGTGGTACTCCTTTTTTCCTTTCTGTTTCTGTTCATTACTTAGCTACACATAGAGGTATGGACTAAAAATATGGGATCCTGTTGTATGATATTTCCTGTATTAAATTTTTCAAAAGCTAACTTTGTTGTTTGATGTCTTTGTTGCTGTTTTCACATGTAGCAAGTGATATTAAAAATGCAGTTTAATACCAATAGACTCAAGTGGTACTCTCCTCCACTTATTGGTAGATTGCACATCTACTCCAGTCCTAATTCATATATAATATTTGTAGAGCAAAGCCATGGATTTGTATGTGTCCCCACAGTGTTAAATCAAAAGGTCCCTTGTTCCAGTTCTGAAAGAAAATTTTGAAAAATATAAGCTGTACATGTCACTGATTGGCTAATGCCCATATTGTTTAGAACAAATTAATAGGCATGGCATACTTTTGAAGGTTAAAAAGCAGTCTATCTGACAAATGTTGTGGAGTGGAGCACAATGCTGTAAGTTGATTGAGTCAGCATTCAATTCATTATTATGTACATATGCCTGTCCTTTCCTTTGTGAGGCCCAGAGGAAGCTGGGCTCATCCATGGTTGAAGAAGTTTATGGGTTCTGTCTACTAGTGTGATTTTGCTGGTGCAAAGTTTTTAATGTTTGAAGAACCTATTTGATCCCAGCAAAGGTGTCAGTTCTTACCTTGATTCTACTTGCACATGTTCAGATAACTTAATTACGGCAAATGTTGCTTGTGTTTGTTGTTCCCCAAGTACTTGCTCAAGCACTAACAGAACAGCGCCTCTTGATTTTTACTAGTACTTTTATATAATTAGATGAAACATTTTCTTTTTACTTTTGAAGTAAAATTACATGTGATGTTAAATATATTTCTCCTCTCCTCTTGCTAGAAAGATGATGGGTGAATCATTAGGCTTGGGACTGCCACATGTGTGCAGTGGGGATTAACCCTGCCATGAAATGAAC